CCTTTTTTTTTTTTTTTTTTTTTTTTGCAGCAATGTCTTGTCAAATCGCTGAGTTGACCAAGCTGAGCTCAAACGCATAAGCTTTCTGCTCAGCTCTAGTGTGCAGTGATTACAGGCAAACCATGCCCAGCACATTCTTCTTAACTTACATCTTCCCTGCAAAAACTTTAATAGAGACCCCAGAAAACTGATACTCCTTCAAAACCTCTATCAGAATTTCACGGGCAGATTCAGAGTAGGTTGATATATTCAGCTATATTTTCCTCCAAAAACTATGGTGATGATAAAATGAATAATATGCTTAAATATTTATAAATTATAAAGCTAAACCAATGGCACTGGTATTGATGAATGTGGTATATAGACAAATTAATAAGTCTTTGTTGAGCAGATTGAAGTATTCTGTTGCAAAAGTATTGACATAAAATTGTGATCTGTGATATGGCTATATCAGAAACTTGTTAAAAAATGTGAATGATTCTTCCTTGCCTCAGATTTCCTGCAACACAATTTTGGGAAATGGAATGCAGAAGCCACTTTTAATAAACTACCAAGGAAAGTTTCATGTGCCTTCAATCCACTGGTCATGAGCTAGAAGAGGAAATCCCAAAGCTAAACTCACAGCTGTTACCACCACTGCAGGTAGTGCTGATACACCTGTTGTCCTTCCCACACCCAATTGGTTCTCACTTCATATGATAATTCTGTACAGACTCATTAAACCCAAAGTATAGAAAAGTAAAAATGGAAAGGAACAATTGGACAGAGATTGAGTTCATTCTTCAGGGACTTTCTGAGTACCCGAGAGTGGAAAAACTCCTTTTTGCAATGTGCTTGGTGATGTACGTGGCAATCCTTCTTGGGAACAGTACCTTGATCCTCTTAACTCTGCTGGATTTTCGCCTCCACACACCCATGTACTTCTTCCTTGGTAATCTTTCCTTCCTGGACATTTGGTACACATCCTCCTTTATTCCTACAATGCTGATACACTTCCTATCACAGAAAAAAACTATCTCTTTCCTTAGATGTGTCGTTCAAATGTCTGTCTCTTACACTATGGGTTCCACAGAATGTGTGCTCTTAGCAGTGATGGCCTATGATCGATATGTGGCAATCTGCAACCCCCTGAGATACTCTATCATCATGAACAAGGCACTCTGTGTTCAAATGGCAGCTCTCTCCTGGGGGCTAGGATTTCTCAACTCATTGACAGAAACTGTCCTTGCAATTCGGTTGCCCTTCTGTGGAAAAAATGTTATCAATCATTTTGTTTGTGAAATATTGGCCTTTGTCAAGCTGGCTTGCACAGATATTTCTTTGAATGAGGTTATTATAATGTTGGGCAATGTAATATTTTTGTTTTCTCCATTGCTGCTGATTTGTATCTCTTACATTTTCATCCTTTATACTGTACTAAGAATCAGTTCAGCTGAAGGAAGAAAAAAAGCCTTTTCTACCTGCTCAGCCCATATGACAGTGGTGATTGTGTTTTATGGGACAATTCTCTTCATGTATATGAAGCCAAAATCCAAAGACTCTGCTTTTGACAAGCTGATTGCCTTGTTCTATGGCATAATCACCCCCATGCTCAATCCTATCATCTATAGCCTGAGGAATACAGAGGTGCATGGAGCTGTGAAAAAATTGATGAGTAGAAAGTGGCTTGGAATAAAATGATGTCAGCCTGACATCTCTGAGTTTATGCACTAAATATGTTCATAAACTTAGTTATGAACAGAAAAAAGAAGATCATGTCAACTCACAAATTTGTTATAAGTTTGAATATTGATAATCTAATTGTATTACTTTATGACAGTGACTGCTCTCATAAAATGCAGAGATAAGTGGTCTAAGTAAGAATAAATATTTGAAGAGAAAAAATTTAATCCTCTGCAGGGAAAATCAGCCCCCATATTTACTTAACAATTAAAATGTACTTTCAGCCTTCACTCTTGGAAAACTATATGTTTTGTGCTTTTTTTGTTTGTTTTAGTCTTGCTTTATATTTTATCTATGGGATTATACTCACCTCAACTTTCATTTAAGTGCAATATTTCTCCCTCTTTTTCTGTTCATGTTTCCCCACATCCTTTGCACATGTTGTGCTGCATTTATTATGTGCTTACTCAATTACATTATTTTTTTACCATAATGACAATAGAACATGCTGTTTCAGCTACATTTTTATATTTTTCCATCTCTGAAGAAATATTAGTGCTTTCATAAAAGGCAGGTCAACTGTCATTCCGTGTAACATTGTCCAGAATTTGCCAAGTTAATTATTTCCTCCTCTTAGATGCCCTGATTTTATCTCCAACACAGCAGTTTTACTTTTATGCTCTAATCATTTGTTAATTTTTGAAATTCTCCCATGGGTCCCTGTTCTCTGTATGAAGCTCAATGTAAAGTTAATTAAAACTAGTTGCAGTAATGAATTTAAAATTTAAAAGATAATAAAACATGGTCCAAGTACCAGACTTAATACAAGTAGATAAGAGTACTGGAATTTCTCTGTTATTTCATTCACCAATATACAATTCTGAAAGGTTTTTGGTAAAATGTTGACTAATCTTTAAATACAGGGAAAAATAATGGAAGACTAAAAGCTTAATAAAATATTTTGAAGGGATCATTTGGGTTAGATAAGCTAAAATTATAGTGTATACCATTCTCTAATAAGTAACTGCTGAAAAAAAAAACAACAATTGGATACATTATTCTTTTTACTGACAACTTCACTCTTTCAGAAGGAATGTGTAGTTTATTTTAAATCTTTTAATTAACCCTAAGAATAGTGAGTAAGGGTTAGGAAATGATTTAAATATTTCCCTTTCAAACAACCCTCAAACTGGCCAAAGAGTAATAATATATATAGTTGCATCTTTCACAATAAAAGTATCTTAACATGTTATATATTTGCCTCTGGCACATCATCCTAGCCTGAGGTATGTGATGAGGATACCTATGCTCAAGCAACACCCAGCAGAGGTTTTAGTAACAATAGCTGAAGAAGGCATTATTGCGATTACCATATGTTGATGGTCAACTGGAAGATGAGATACACACTGAGCAGAATTGAGTTTTCCTGCTGGCCACAGTCAAGGCCATGCTAAGTCAACCAGCAATTAAGCAATCACCATAAAAGTAACTAACTCCCAAAATAACAAAGACCACTCACTGCTGATTTGAAATAGAAATAGAATATTAACCAGGATAAGATCACCTAACTCTGACTCAGATGAAACATAATCTCCTAAATGTTTATGATTGTATGCTACTGAGAGCTTTTGGTTATTTATTATGATGCATCATTACAGCAATGTAAATCTGACCTATATTAGATATTTTCATTGCCTTTCCAATATTGACTTACCTGCACCTTTATCCTTCTTGAAAGCATCACAAGTTTATTCATTTGTTTATGCCATTTTTATCCATAGGAGAATATTCTGATAAGTTTAGAAATTTTACATTTTTAGTATTTTTATATTGAGATCTACAGTTGATTTGAACTTAAGTTTTAGATAACATTGAAACAAAGGTCAAGATTTACTTTTTACCATATGGGTAATATTTGACCCAACACAGCTTATTAAAAAGATTCTTTCCTCACTAAACTGCAGTGTCACTTCTGACATAAATGATAGTTTAGGAATCAGTATGTTTCTTATTATGTTCCACTGCTCTATTTATCTATTCTTGTACCAACACTGACTAACTGCAGCTCTATAAATTGACTTGGTTTCTGGTCCTTTAAATCTATTCTTTGTTATAGATTGGTAAGTGTTAGGATTTATATACTTTAGTCTTTACTTATTAATTTTTACCGTATACATGCTGGAATTTTGATGACTTTCAATCTGTCAGATTAGAGAGAATTTAAATTATTCAATCTTCTAGTCTATGAGGAAGATATAACCCTCCATTGGGTCTTTTGTAATTTCTCTCAGTAATTTTCAACTGTTTTTATAAATGTTTTGCACATATTACATTATACTTATTCATATGTTTTGATGATGTAAACTATTTTTTTACTTTTTTGGTTTTATTACATAATAATTTTTCTGTGCTAATGTTATGTTTGCAAACTAAGTTAACTTATTAATTCCAGTAGTTCAAAGACAATTTAAATTTTCTATGTTCACATATTATTATCTCTAAATAATATGTGACCTTTTTCCCTTTATCTATCACTTATCTTTCCTTTTGCATTGATTAAGAATTCCAGTAAAATACCAAATAAGTGATAGCAGTGTGAATTATTAGGATTTTCATCTGATTTATTGTAAATACTGATTTATATATTTTATCTAACATCTTATTTGTTATTTCTTACCAGTCCCACATATTCTGTTATCCTAATTCTCTTTTCTTGCTTTCTTTGAAGAAATGACTCATTACTCCAAGCAATATTTTAAAATTTAAGTGCAAGAGTCATAAACTTAGAAGTAAACATATATATCTCTGAGGTACAAGGTTCTAGTATTATTTTACATTTCATAAAAATGCCACACTTTTAACTTGACTTAATAATTTCTATTTTTTGTTACTGCTTTTATAAATGTCAATTTTACCTGTAATTTAAAATCTGAAATCATGAGTATTGTTACACTTAATGTTCATTTAAATTGATCTATAGATCTATTCACCCTGCCCTTAACATTTCTAACTATTGCTATTTACAGTTATTTTCTTTCACCACAAATAGTTATTGCTTTAGAATTTCTTTTAAGGAAAGTTTGCCACAGATGAATTCTATAAGCACATAGTCAGGGGATTTAAAGTCAGTACTTTAAAAGCACTCTTCTTTATATTCTGGTATAAAGAAATCATCCTTTGTTTCATTTTCACTTCTTTAAGAAAATGCAAGTTTATTTTTGGTGGTTTCTAATATTTTCTAATGAGGAGCCTATATGTGGCTGTTTTTATTTAGACTTCTTATCATCAGATCTTGATGTCTTTCATAATTTTGAGAAAATCATTCAGTATTAGTCATTTTTTCTTTATCTCCCTTTGCAGGTACATTATACACATGCTAGACTTTCCACCTTGTCATATAGAGTTCTAAAAATCTTTTATTTTCTTTCTTTTCTTCTTTTCATGCATCAGCATGTGTATTTTGTAGGGTTTTGTGTGTGTTTCTTTTTTCTTTTTTTTTTTTTTTTT